CCGCCCCGCCCCGCCCCGCGCTGCGTGCTCCGGGCTCCCTACGCGGGTGGCAGCCAACGCCGCGGCCATGCACCGCCTGTGCCTGAGCCGTTTGCTGCTGGTTGGGGCCCAGGCCCGGGCCCGAGTTCTTGGTGCCCCGCTCAAACTGTGGCCCAGGCTGCGCTGCCGGTCACTGCCTGCCGGGCTGGCCTCCATGCCGTGGGACCACCTGGGGGCTGCCAGCAACGAGGAGGAGTTTTTCGTGTTCTCAGAATACCTGCCGGAGAAACTGGAGGAGCCATGGGGCATTGAGGTGGCGCCGAAGAAGCCCCCCCGGAAGAGGCAGTACCAGGAGCGGAGGGAGCACAGGCCAGCGGGGCAGCCGGATCCATCTGTGCCAACCAGCGGCGTGAGCTGCTCAGGCTGTGGGGCAGAGCTGCACTGCCAGGACCCTGCCATGCCAGGCTACATGCCCAGCGAGAAATACCTCTCCCTGCTGGGGGAGCCTGAGGGCCAGGGAGGGCTGCGGGACGCTGTGTGCCAGCGCTGCTGGCTCCTGGTGCATCACCAGAAGGCGCTGCGCCTGGAGGTGTCGTGGGACCAGTACCGCAGCCTGGTGAGCTCTGCCCTGCGCCAGGCACCCCGCCACGGCCGTGCCCCGCTGGTGCTCTATGTGGCTGATGTACTGGACCTGCCCGACACAGTGCTGCCCAACCTACCCGAGCTGCTGGGCCCCACCATCAACGTAATGGTCCTGGGCAACAAGGTGGACCTGCTGCCCCCGGACTCGCGTGACTACCTGAAGCACTTTCGAAAGCAGCTGCTGCGTAGCTGTGCCCAGGCAGGCATCCACCCCCTCACCAAAGGCGTCAGCAATTCGGCAGGCAGGCAGCACCTGGTGGACATGCACCTGATCAGCGCCAAGACGGGTTATGGGGTGGAGGAGCTGATCTCCAAGCTGCAGCGCTCCTGGAAGTGCAATGGGGATGTGTATCTTGTGGGTGCCACCAACTCGGGCAAGTCCACCCTCTTCAACACCCTGCTCCAGTCCGACTACTGCAAATCTAGAGCCTCAGAATTGATCAACAGAGCCACCATCTCGCCCTGGCCAGGTCAGAGCTGGGGACTTGTGTCGGTTGTCCCATTGCGCTGCAAGCTTTTCTGGGCCAAGTTGGCTTTGGGTTTTATTTTCTATTTGTTTTGTTGTTACTTGCCTCCCTGAACCAATGGCGGATGCATTGGAGGGTATTATGGGATAGGTCACTCTAGATATACTCTGTTCAGTGCTCTCCTTCTAAAGCAGGGTGTCAAACTCATAGGGCCCCACAGGCTAGATGAGCATCCCTGAGCTAGTCTATGGGCCAGGCTGGGACCAACCAACCCCCTGTGGAGTGGCTGTAGCACCAGGTCCAGCCCCACACAACATGCACCAGCCACTGGGGCTGGATTGTGGCACATGCTGAAGGAAGCGTGGGAGGTCAGTTTGGGGTGCTACTGGGCTAGATAGACCACTAGTCTGACCCAATGTGGAACTTACTTATGTTGAAGGCCACCCACCAGGACCCTATTGTGCAAGATGCTGCACGAACTCAGAACATACAGACAGCCCAGTAATATGGCCCAGCCTATGGCCTGTCTTTTATCCTGACTCTCCTTACGTTTGTCTCCTATTATGTGGTTTGTTTGTTTTTTGCCAGTGGACCCCTTCCTTGTGCAGTGCACAGGAAGGAAAGCAGCGCTGCAAGGATTGTGTAGCGGTGATGCAGGTGGCTGTGTGATTTCTGGGTCCCTTGCTTCAGAAATTGGAAGGTATCCAATTAGTGAAGCAGAAGAAAAGGAACGGCTTAGTGGTTCTGGCAGTTGAAAACTGGATCCCATCTAAGGACTTCCTCTGTGATACTAGTACTGATATTTAAACCAAGATGTTCACTGTTGAACACTAATCATGCATCATTCTTGGTTGAGTTACCTGGACCTTGATATGTAGAATTGTTGGGCACTTCCCTTAGTTAGTTATAACTTTGCATGGAAAGCGTTACATAATGCTACAGACGGAAAAAAGCTGGACCCTTCTCAAAGTAGACATCCATAGTAGTAGACGCTTGGTTACTTTTCCTTCATCTCTGCCTCAGGTTCTGATCTGTAAATTGGAAATAATACTACCCTCTTTTTTTCATAGAGTTGTTGTGAATATAGATTCACAAATGTTTGCAAAATACCTTTGGAAGTGCTCAAGAGAAAATGTGTAACTCTGTGTTCAGTGCAGGCTTTGGATGCTGTGTAATAAATAAAGGTTACAGCTGCACAAGTAACCAAAGAAACATACAGCTACCCAGTCAGTGGGTATCATCTAACATGGACAGTGAATGAGGCAAGGGACCAATGCAAAAAACAGGATGTGATAGATATGACATACTGCATACACACTGGGGAATAAATTAAGGTTGGACAAGAAACCTTAATTCTGGCACTTCCTAATATTTTAGTGTTCTTGGCCTGTCATTCAGTATTCAGTCTCTTCCTGTCCTGTCCCTTTGTACCTGTGTGCATGTGTCTGACTTACAGTGCTGAAGGCAGAGGGTGGAGATGCACCCTATAGACTAACTAAATCAGAGATGTATAAGTTTTGTAAGATGCCTGTGACTTGCTGCAGGAGTTTTTGCTGAAGGGCCTCGCCTGAGATTGGGTTACAGACTTATGTGAAATGCTGCCTGCTTGTGTGATGCTTTCAGCTTCTCCAGAAATTCACAAGAAAAGATTCTGTACTTCGCAGCTCCCACGTTGAGCAGTCAGCACCTCCTGCATCTCCAGGAATTGTTCACAGGCATTCCTCTCCCAGGCAGTGTCACCAGAGCCCCCACCTCCCTCATCCCAGGCCTTCATGGGAAGCAGCACTTGGGGATCCATCACCACCACTTTTTCCTTTCCCAGGCTTGCTGTGGCATGGAAGGGTAGGGAGGGAAGAAAGATGACCTGTAGAGCTTTAGAAATGGAGTATTCTATTTAACTTTTAAGCCTGGTAGTTTTAAGTCAGGATAGAGACCCTTAAATATGTATCTGGTCCTTCAGTGATGTGGATTTTTTGACATTGGCCTAGACTTGAGCATATTATGTAACTTTGCCAAACACGTGATGCTGTCTACTTGGGAGAAAGCAATATGTTTGCCTGCATTATCCAATAGTAAGCAGTGTGCATTGAAACAGAGCTCCCCCACTTTTGATTTTGTTACTGAGTGGATTTGACCCTTCTGAAGAAAAGTATTCTGATGTCTTAGGTAGGGCGGGAGCTCAAGGCACTTTATATAGGGTAGATGAGAGAGGTGCAGAAGTAACTGTGCCAACTTGGCAGTTTGTCTCGTATCTACTTATTCCTGGTGCGAAGATAGTTCTGTTCCTAGGCTCATTCAGACCTTTGCCTTCATGCTAAGGCCCTCAGTAGTGATTTCAGAGACCAGACCTTGGTAGGGAATACTGTTTTCATTTCAGAGACTACTGGTTTGCTATCCATCTGTCATATCTTGGTCAGTGTTATTTACCTCCAAAAATGTTGACCTCCCCTCCTCCCCAGCTTCTTTCAAAATGTCACTTTGCAATTTTATTTTAATACATGTTAATATATATGGCTGTCTACACTGGGCTTTTAAAACATGTTGGCTAATGAATATGAAAAAAAAACAGTCTTCTGTTCCTAGTCTCAACAAAACTACAGTGCTTTTCAGAAAAAAGTAACTGGAAGCAAAATACGTGTTTCTTAAGAAACGTCACGTTTTACTTTTTATAAACTTGATCCATTACTTCTTCAAAAATTTTTATAGGCCATTTTGGAAAAACAAATACCCATAAATAATAAGTATGATAATAGCAGGAGAAGTAAGCTTTTAATGGTTAAGTACACATCCTAGAATTCTGCCTTTTTTTTTGCATTTGTACCATGGCCCCACACACAGGTAATTCTTCTTGCTAAAATGTCAGGTTCTTGGGTGCTATCTCTATATGACATGCACCAGAGTATGAAAGGGTTCAAAACTAATCTGTAGTTCCAGGTTTCCCTTTCTTTTAGTCCCACTAACACATTCCTGCACTAATAACAGAAGTCCGCACAGAATTTGCTGGAGCCCTTCGTATATGCCACAGTAGTTGTTGCAGAGAGATGTGTGTGCAACTCTTACATGTGATTTTTGAATGAGATTTGTTTTATAGCCAACTCTTCAACAGCTCTTGTCCCTAAAAATCCATAAGAGTTTTGGTTTGACTTAAATTTATTGAAGATGGCTTCTAGCAATCACATTAAGTGACTTGGTACTAAATATGTTTTGGCAACATTTAATCATGGTGAGCTAATATGATGGTAACTGGAGAGCACTATCTGTCTGTGCTATTTGCTAACAGTCCAACTAACATGATTGCTGAAAATGACTATCAAACACGGTAAAATTTCACTGAGCTGATCCTGGCCAGTGTGACTGGTCATTTCTGAGTACAGCTATTAGCTGTTCTGTTAGCTGACTTTAACTTTCTCATTGTATGCCTGTTCCTTTTTTGTGCAGAAAATTGAAGCAGTTACATAACCTGCAAATATTTATGGTCAGGAGGCTTTTTTCCCCTCTTTTTCAGGCGTAATATCGAAGTGTGTTTTTCTACTGAACTCATGTTGTGTTGATGTAGTCGTATGTTTGGATGGTGTGGATTTTGTTTTTTAGGAACGACCTTAAACCTCCTGAAGTTTCCACTTATCAACCCTACTTCTGACAGAATATTCAGAAGGAAGGAGAGACTAAAAGCAGAAGCAGAAAAAGATGAAGAGCAACTTAGTAGCGATGAAAAAAAAACCTTGAATTACTTTAAAAAGCAAGGCTACTTAATAGGTGAGTGTTATTTATGGGAAAAGTATTGATACTTTATCTCAGATGCAAATGATGCATTACTTCACTGTATAGTAGATTAGACAGGGGTTCTAATTTCTGGCATATGTAAGACCTATGATCATGTTCTGTAACTCAGCTAATATTTGAAAGGCTCCTAGTAAGACTGCTTGTGCAAGTAAAGGGAAATAAATGAGGCATGGCCTCAAAATATCATAGCTGCATAGCAGTCTTGAACTACAGACCACTTTTCCATAGAGAGAGTTCAGTGTGGAAAGCAGAATCTTTCTTGAAATTTCTTACAAACGCACGCGGAGTTTGTAATAGCTGCAAAAAGAAGGCTTTATTCTGCAAAGATGCACATCCTCAAATACACATGAGCAGCTCTGTCAAACACTTGTTTAGAAAGGCTCTAAATATTAAAGACAATCTGGATTACAAGTATTGGTACCATGCTGAGCGTAATGGAACTCACATTGGCTCCCCTGTAGGTAGCTGTAACACACAATGGGCAAATCTACATGAGACCTTTACTGCAGAGCTGACCAATTAGCTCCGTAGTAAAATGTCACCATCTAAACATGCAGTGCTTTTAGGATGGATTAAACTAATTAATTCCTCTGGAAAGTACTGCCAGATACAAGTACTATCACACAGCGGAGTTATTTACTCCACCACAACACACATGTAGATACGAATGGAGCTGGCTGGGGCATGAGGGTGCTTCAATGCAGGGGTTGCCTGGTGGCTAGCCCCACAGTGAAGCACACTTGTGCCCCAGCCAGCCCTACTGCAGCATATTAAGCCAGGCCAGAGCAGCCCTGGGCTGGCAGGCTGAGCCCCAGGACTCCCTGCCCAGTCGCACACCCAGGAACAATAAACTCAGTGCCAAGGTTTATTCAGGCTTGCTAATTGCACATGTAGATGCATTCAGTATTGCCGAAATCAAGTTACGGCAATAATGCTGTGGCAATAATAATGTCTGTCCTTTTTTTACTGAACAAGAAAAATATTAAAATGCAGAAATATAAAGTAACTTTTAAATATTCTGCCTTGGAAGTATTTAAAATTGTAATCATTAATCACATAATATTGAAATTACTTTCTTACATAGTATATAGTTATTTTTTAGGTCTGTACGGAAGAAAGAATGCAAAGAACAAAGCTTTTAAAATATATTTTTTCCTTTTAATTTAGGAAGAGTAGGGCAGACATTTGAACAACGGAAAGCTGAACCTGTCATTGACTTCGACCCCAATACACTCTCTTTTACCATGGAAGAGGAGCCTGTGGTTTCAATTACCAAGCCTAAAGAGAGAGAGGAATTTACTTACAGTGAAGTGAAAGATGCTCGCTGGTGTTTTGATACGCCAGGGATTGTAAAGGAAAACTGTGTAAGTGCTCTGTTAACATTTGGGAAGGTCTGTATTTGCAAGAGAGGAGTGCTGTCCTAGCCAACTTTGATTACAAGAGATTTTTCATACTGTAACGGACTAAAATAGTCTTTCTTTCAGATATTCATTTAGGGCATCTTTATACATGCTCTAGGGTAGGGGGCCTTTTAATTAGAGCGGGTCTTGGGAGTTGCTCTAATTCAAACACCTACAGTGTCTCATGTATTCAGCATCCCACGCTTCAAAATGGCAGTGGGGCACTTTAAAAAAAATTAACTTCCTGAGCTTTAGTTAAAGTACCTCCACTTTCATTTTGAAATGCAGGGTCACTGAATACTCGATGCGAAGGCTGCTGGAGCATTCTAATTAGAACTCATTGGAGCAAGTGTCAGGCACGTGTATTAGGTGCCCTTGGTAGTGACACTGTGTTAGAATATGTATCCAATATGTATTGAAGTAAAGCAATGAGACCTGTTTACAGAAAAAAAATAATCTTACTGACCATGCTCTAATAGTAGTGCCCTGAACATTTTACAAGGTTTGTTGTTCCTAATGTACATTTGGACTAGCCAGCATCTATAACCATGTGTCTCAACTGGGCGTAGCCCTGGCTTTCATAGATAATTTTTTTTAAACAGTTATATTCTAGGCCTGTGCGAAGTGGCTGGTATTTGCTTCAGCCGATTCGGGAAACAGTGATTTGAATAACCATCCTGAATAGATTCGGTCAAATCTGATTCAGAGATTCGGCCGCTGCCAAATCGGCTAAATTGCTCAATTGGGCAGGCCCCATCCCCCGCCTGCTGTCCCCCGGCAATGGCTGCCCTGCCCAGTCCCAGCCTCCCAGCTCTTTAAAAAAAAAAAAAAAAAA